CCCACTAGATTATAAATATTAGGAATACGATTTTCATCTTAGTATGTCCCCCAGAGAAATGAGAGGAATACTGGGAACACAATGAATGCCTCGTGAATGACCCATCCAGGCCAGTCACAATTGTAATTTGCATATTGTGCCCAACAGTTACAGGAAGTCCACCTTGATCCTCCACCCCTGGAAATTCACAGTGGAGGAGAGTCATTCTCATTAGCTATCATGCTGTATACACTTCCATTGTCCATGTAACAACCCACTTGGCGGACTCTGTTACTCCTAATCTCTATAAACCTCACCCCCAGTTACAGGCTCACTTTCATTGAGACTCCAGGAGCAACCCTATTCCCAGGTAGGGGAACATGAAGAACCCATATCTTCTCTGGCCTGGCCTATCAAATAGAGTCAGACATTCCAAACGTCACATCCCAAAACACACACAATCTTACCTGTGGGTAATAGCCCCATATTTGGCCTTTGCCTAGGTTGCTCTCCAGGTAGACCAGTAAGCCCCTGATATTCCAAATTTTTGTCTCTCTTATATTTTAATCTTCTTGTTTTGTGGCCATCATTTCTATAGGCCCTTGGTCTGACAATCTGTTTCAAGTCACTTCTGGCCCTACTCTGACCTTAACCAATAAGTTCCAGCAATGGGATTTTCTTTGTTCTTCCTTAATTCCCACCTTCTGCCTCAATCCCTGAAACATAATGTGCATGTCTTCTTGGGTCTTACACCCTCATTTCTTTAGTCTTCCTGACGATTGCCTGCTCCTGAAACCAGTCTTCATGATTGGATCCCGATTTCTAGACTCCCTGGATCTTCTCTGCCCAAATCTCTACCTTTTAAATGATAACTGATTTCCCCCAAGTCATTTAGACAATTCCGGTAACCTACAGCCGTCTTTCCTTTTCAGCTTCCCCCAATTTAAACTCCAGTGAGAGACAATCGAGAACTCATGAATACATATATATTTATTTAATTCATAATATAGCATTTTGGATGGCTGGGATATTTTAGAAGGATGAGGCTGTGTAATCCACAGATGCTCAGATTTCTGTCACGAGGAGAGACACTATTGGTCCAGAGCTCCCAGTACAAACAAGTCTGGGATAAAATATTTGATAAAAAATAGTCCGACAATAGTCTAATAAATATTCTAGCCAACAACAATAACACAGTATATGTCTGAAGCTGGCAGACCAGACCGTAAAAGGCAGTTTTACCTGCCCTGATGGCAGTCAACCCGGCCAACCTATAATACGCAGCCAAATACAGCCAATGGCTCCAAGGCTACAATTGGCTTCAGGAATGGAAATAAGCATGGGAGTGGTTCTTATCTGTCAGCCTCACATTCTCCATTCTGTAGAGGAAAGGGTATCAAATATTTGAGCTTATCAAAAAGTCCATCCATGGATTGCTCCATCCAGGTAGTCATATATAAATATGTAAACCATGGAAGCTTAGAAAACTCACCTAGTGTATTTAAGCTGAAAAGAACACATAAGTGATGCTGCTGAAATCTGAATTTCACTGCATCCAAAGTTACACAATGGAATTACATGATAAAAACACATACAGATGCAGCAATTCTTACTTACAAGTAGTCACAACTCCGACGTGGCATTAAAATTTCTTTCATATTCTCAAAACAGGTTTAACTCTATTTTGATTAGTTTTGTGCTTTCTTCAATAAGACAATATAAAAAAGTGGAAACAAGCATAAATTGCAGACAGAAAGAATAATTTGCTAGCAGAAAGGATTGTAGGAGAATAGATTGAGTAGGGCAACAACAGTGAAAACTGAGGGCGTCGCCTTCCTTGAAGATGTTAAATACAGGTCTTATTCCCTTTGTCCAACTGGGTTTATCTAGCTAGAGCCAGTCAATGGCTTCTCTTAAGGTCTCTGGCATTGCCACTATCGAGGAAAGCCTTGAAGTCTCCGGGACTCATCACACCCCCACAGGAGAGTACTTTGCCACCATGTTGTTTCGTGGAAACCTCTTTTCATTATTTGGCTGAGAGACGTCACTGTTTACCCCAAACCCAATTTAATTTCCTACATTATTCAGTAGGTTAAACTATGAGCAATTTTTGGCTGTAGCCCAAACTTAAATTCACCTTCAGAGGACGAAGTTTGAAAAGATTGGGAAGTTCTTGAAAAGAATAGTGCCACATGTTCTAGACAATTCTCCAAGTTAACTTCCAAAGAGCTTCTGAGGCAGACAATAGTCATTTATATGTATGAGTCCTGGGACATCTGCAAAATAATATCAACACAGCCCAAATGAAGAAGTAACCAAGCTTTCCTGCCCAGAAAATAACAAACACCGGTATGGATATCAGAGTACAACAGGGAAACTTTGCTTATTCATTCATTCATTCGTACATCCATTCAAAAAACATTAGTCAGGCAACTACTCTGTTCCACGCACCATGCCAAGTATTAAAAAGTACAACAGAAGACACAGTCCCTGCCCTCAAGGTATTCACAGTCTAGTAGGGAAGATGATTATTATACATTAAACTTTTGTGTGCATCAGAATTACCTGGGAACTTGTTCAAAATGTAAAATTCCACTTATGTGCCCAGATAGTCCAATTAAGTAGATCAGGAGTGGGGTCTAAGATCATTGTTTTTACAAACACCAAAGGTGACTCTACCAGGCGGTCTGAGGACCACACTTTGAAAAACACTGCTATACAAGGTGATTATTGCTGAGAAGGGGGTGGGGGGGGACTCTCAGGGTGCCATGAGAGCTCAGAAGAGAACATACCCCAGTCTAGGGGGTGGTCAGGAGTTAATCTGGTTGAGAGGGTTGGGGTGGGGAAAGGTAGTCTAGGCTAGGGTCAAATATAAGGTGGGGAAATTGAAGCTTTGTCCCAGGCCACTAAAAGGTAAAGGGCAGAAAAAAATGAAGAGCTGCAGAGACCCAAAGATAAGGTAAAAGGAATTGGACTGGGGTGGAGGGGGCATGTTCTGCATTTATAGCATTTTCACACTATTCCCTCAATGCAAGAACAATTCCTGTCCCCTCTGGGCATCAGAACTGTTAGTAATGTCTCTATTCCAGGCCCAGAGAACAATTTGTATGAAGAGTTGACCTTGTCTCACGTAACAAGTGGAAGGAGGAAAGTGGCAAAGGCTGAAGCTGGGAAAGCTAACAAGGGACCTGAAAAGCCAAACCCGAAGTAAATGGGACCTTCTACTGAACGCTATGGGAGCCAGTGAGAGGTTTTCTGAAGGGGAAGTGGGGAAATATTTTTTTTTTTTAAACTGAGGGCCGACCCCTCGAGGAGAGACCAGAGTTAACTGAGAAATGAAAGGCATCCATTTTAAAGCACCGCTACACTGTACTGGGGCTGGGGCCCGGAGGAGGGGGTGAATGTTTCTTGTGCACTTCACTACGTGCCAGGTGCTGTGCTAGGCAGTTTACATGTGCTATCTTTTGAAATCTTTGCAACAGCCTTGTGAGGTAGGTATTATTTTACAGAAGAGGAAACAGAGGCTCAGAGAAGTGAAGTGCTTACCCTAGGTCACACCGCTAGGAAATGGCAGAAGAACTAGGATTATTTTAGTCCAAAGACTACGAGCTGTCCATGGCAGCAAGCTAGCTCCCCACACTGCTCGATCTGACTGAGGTTGCTCCTTTCCTAATTAGCAGAAATGACATACGGTTTATTTCAACCAAAAAGCTGATGTTGCTGCTAGATAAGTAAGTTTGAGCCTGCTATCTGTATGCGCATCAGTCCTGCTTTCCCTGTTAAGTGAATAAACAATACAAAGCTGTTATTTAGGGGGTTTTTATAGCTACTTTGTCTCTCCTACAGAATAGTAAGGCATTTGACAGCAAGGGACTGTGTTTTTATCAATACATCAGCAGCAGAATGGTACCCAGCATCTAGTAGTTTGTTGAATGAATGAATGAATGAATGAATGAATGAACGAATGAACATACGTCCACCGAGGCTGTCAGAAGGAAGAGGGGAGACATTTTGGCATTGTTCCAAGGCTCCAGTCTGGTGGCTTGTAACAGCTACCGCTTTGTACAGAAATAGTATTTTCGCAACTCCCAAGAAGTAGAGTCCTCAAGGCGGACTTATCTCCTGGGAAGGAGAAAGCTCTGGTTCTGACATCCCCAGTCCCTGCAGCGGGACTGACAAAAATCACAGACCATAAAACTTGATGCCCTTCAACAACAGTGAGGAAGACTGGGATGAAAGTTACATTTGCACTTGCCACGGAAGGGTCTGATAAGCAGATGACTAGTGTAAACAAGATCGCAAGAGGAACAATTCTTTAACCTGTTTAGGCAAACAGACTGCTCTCGGGCACTCTGAAGCACTTCAGAAGTGTTTTATCTGAAAATACAAGTACATTTATATGCAAATTGTTGTTGCATCTAGAGAACTCCATTCTTACCGATTAAGTAAATAAAGTTCCTAAAGAACATCCATTATGCAACTCTTTTTTTCTTTTCTTTTTTTTAAGCCTAATTCTGGTAACTGTACGTACTTGAGAGTAATGAAACGGTATTTCTTTGGGACATTCCGTGACGGAATTTTTAACAATTCAAATGAACCTCCTCCATTAGGCAGCCTCAGTGAAACTGTGCTTCTACTTGGATCAATTTTCTATCCGGCAATAGCATCTCTTGTGCAATCTTGTCCCCCAATCTCTCCTAATCCAATTTAGAGCTCTTCCCAGCATCTATGTCATTATTGCACATGTACCTCTGTGTGTGACAGGAGGGAGAATGGGAGGGATGAGTGGAGTGGGGGAGGAAATGTTGCCTGATTTTGATGATGTTCCCTTTAGGGGACAAAAATGGATGATATAACTCATTTTCCCTTCCAGTATATTTCTCACTCAAATGAGCAAATCAAAAAATTTATTATGTATATATAATTATAAAATGAATATATAACATATATTATTTATTCATTTTATATATATATTATATATACACATACATGTTCTTTGTATAATAAATCCTCAATTGTAGGCTTTTTATCAAAAACTACATATAATATGTGATCCTTTGACTCTTCAAAATTCTACTTGGCCAAACTGGCCAGTGCTAGGAAAGGCTGACACCCCCACCCACGCACACCTTTCCGGCTGGCTAGCCCCTTGTTCAGAGCATCTTTCTACATTATTTACTTAGAATTATCCTAATTCCTCCCAATATCATTTATACTCCTAAATCACTGGGAATTTTTAATTCTCCAATGATAAGAGAGGTATTCTCTAAATTTCTCCTCCAATGGCTTGAACCCAGACTACTCAGATAATTCATTCTGAGAGACTCAATACATTAATTCAAATACAAGCATTAATGCACAGAAATTAAATCTATAGTATCTAGTTATTTTGGATGCTTCAGATGAACTTTATTTTGTATTTTGTATATTGGACACTAACTGAGGTTTAGGAGGGGAAGACCTGCTGGACTGGAGAGCCAGTGAATTATTGGCTCTCTGAAAACTTAATGGCAAGCTTTCATCCCAGAAACATAAGGGGATTCTTGAGGCCTGCAGTTGCATTCCTGCCGCTCAGGGTAATCAATAAAATCTGGGGCAGGCAAGCCAGACAGGATCATTAGGGATTTGTTCCAGATTGTGAATGTTGGACAAACTGGAAGAATGAAGGTCACATCAAAAGTATGAAGATGGAGAGAGTTAGCTGGGTCATAGAAAGATAGCATGTTGTTGTCATAATCCAGAAGGACACCCAGACGTTTCAACTGTGGGGGCACATCCACCAGCATTTCCTTGTTGTTATGTCTCACTACAAAGTTACTATTGCATCGAGAGAAGACCCATGAGGAGGCATTCTTGCCAATCCATTCATTCTTGGGCGCTGATTTGTAAGCGATACCAATTGCATACCTGTGAGACCGTGGAAAGGAGAGAGAAATAAACATGCATTAATGATCTCAGTGGTGCTAGGCACCATATGGGATATATAAGAAATCTAAAGCATGCTTTTTCCTTTACTAAATAGTTTACATTTATACCCATAATGTTAATAGCACAAGAGTTTTAGGAAGTCAGCAATTAGAGTGCTGCAGTAATTTCCAACCCCTAGCTCAGTGTATTTCCCAAGATTTTATAGTTTTGCTTTTGTAAAAGCCTGCCAATTTTTCTAGGAGTGGTTTTCCTCACATGCCTTTTAACCTTGACCTACTGGTACTATGTTCATGCTACGGAACTGAATCTCACAGGAAAAAAGGAAGAGAAAAACTACAAGTGGGATCCACTCACCAGGTGGAGGAACCCATGACCACTTCCCAGTAGTGGCAGCCACTGTCAATGAATATATTCCCTGCTGCCCCGTAGCACCCGGCGCCGCTAAACCTCTCCGGGGTATGGCTCTTCTTCAGAGAGCTTTCATCCTTCTCCATCTGCAACCCGTCATTGGAGATCTTCAACTTCTTGTGAGTCATTTTGGGATCCAGTTTAAAGGGTTGGCCTGAAAAAAAAAAAAAAAGAAAGAAAGAAAAAACAAAACGCATGGTAAAGTATTTAAGAATGCCATCCCTGTCCTCCGGGACTATTGCTACCAGGGGACTCCTCATAGGATGATCATTCTTGGGCCAGTGCAAGTTGGCTGCTATTTGGATTATATTAAGAAAGTAGGGCCTGAAGCCACCATTTTCAATAAAAGAAGACGAAGCTGCCCCCCTGGATAGGTTATCAAATTAAAAGGAGGCTCTCAGGCTCTCATGCTCTCAAATACGTTTTGTACTCTGCTTTATTTCAGTGGGTAGCTTGGGATTTGAGTAGGTCCTAGGGGAAGGAGTGTTTGAGGTGAGACAAAGTGAGGGGAACTGATGAGGTAATTGCTGGTTGGTGGCAGAACAAAAAAAAATGTAAAAAGAACTCAGTGAAGACCATCTTTCTATCCTCTTACTACGGGGATATAAATAACATATGATTAGGTACCTTCATTAGAGTGACTGATGCATCAGGAATGATCAGAGATGGAATTTGTTGTGTAGGACCATTCACAACCTAGAATTTCTTATAACCATATGATAAAACAAATGACTAAAAGCCAATTGCTGGGTGCGGCAAGAGCTGTGTTATACAAAATGGGTCTGTGACAGACGCTGTTGGCAAACATAACCCCCTTTCCCTACTTTTTTCTCTTTTCCCCACTTTCACCATAGAGGGCAGAAGAGCTAAATATTCCAGCTCCAAGCCTCTCTTGCTGCTAGGGGCGGCTAATAAGATGGAAGTAGATGGAAACAGAAGTCAGACAGGGTTGGGGACACTTCTAGAAACGTGCCAGGCTTTCTCAATAGAAGAGACAGCCATCCTATGCACTGACTCTCTCCCCCTCTTCCTATCTTAAAAAAGGAAATATGACATCTGGAGGCCGCAAGGGCCATATTGTGGCCATATGACAATAAGTCACTATGCAAAGGGAGAAGGAGCTTAGGTCTTTTACAACATCACAGAACTAGCTGTTGCACTAGCCCTAGCCCGAACTGCCTACCTTCAATTTTCGTGCTATGGGAGACAAAGAAAAAACTGTTTGTTTTAGCTACTCACAAATACTATTTGTTAAGCTGAGTTCGTTGGAAGTCTAGGAAGTCCCCTTAGGTCAGAAGCATTCCTAAAAGGTATGACTTCTCTGCGGAAGGATTCTACCAGATTATCCCAAATAGTCCTGTCTCACAAAACTGTTCCCCTAGCATGGGATGGGGTGCAGAGAAAAACCCTTTACTAACACCCTCCCCAAACACCAGCTACTACTACCTGCACTTTGCATGTATCTCTGGGTTCATGTATTTTCCAAAGGCACCAGCAAACCCTCTGCGCAAAGCATAAACTATTAAAGCTATATAAAACTATTAAAGCCCCTCTCCTCAGTGCCTCCACTATGTTGCACTTCCATGGTTCCCCGCTCAGGCTAAAGGTACTCCGTGGCACAGAGGGGAACGTGGAGCTCGCCTTTTGGAATCACCACAACGTACTATTTGTTTTTAGTCGGGTGGGTTCACTGTTCCGGCTGCCGGCCTGGTTTATGGCTTTAACAATGAAGATGTAGCGGGTCCCGCTCTGAAGTCCGTGCACTGTGTAGTGGTTCTGTTTAATGTTGGGCACAATCATCCAGCTATCCACTGAATTGTACAGGCCTGTAAGGGGGGGAAAGAAAGGACATTAACCAGCAGGTCATAGAAATAGGATGAGAAGCACACTGAAAATTCATCAAAAGCTCACCCCTCCCCCAACCTGCTACCACCAAAAAAAAAAAAAAAAAAAAAACAAAAAAAAAAAAAAAAACAAAAAACGAATTTCATTTTGTTTTCTTTTGAGTCCCAGGAGACAGAGTGAGATATCTTCTGTCTCTTTTCTCCCATGGAGCTAGGCTCATGCCAGGCTCCTTATGGCCACTCTACCAAAGTCACAGAATCATCACTATTTTATGGAGTCCCTGGATCTTGACACCCAAGGCCCAATCCTCTGACAGCTGAGCCTGGCCTGGTATGGATGGAGTGGCACTGGGCAGAGCACAGGAACATGGAATCTCAGAGCCAACAGGACACCCACACACCCTATTTCCCTCATTTTACAAATGGGAAACTAAGACTGAGAGAAAAAAAAGTGACTTGCCCAAGGCCACAGACAGATGGTGATGTGCTGAGTGTAACCCTCGTCTCTCACCCTAGTCCTGTTCTCTCCACTATGTGACAATGCATGAGGTGGACAGCAATGTGGCTTTGTCCCTGCAAGGTAGCGAAGCTGTCAGGGCTAATGGCTCATCTCTCCCACCCCCTCCCCACCCTTCCTCCCAAAACTAACTGTGCTCCGAGGTAGCATATAGGGAAGCCAAGGAGATGGCATGCAAATCAAAGCAAACATTACCATCTCCTCACTTGACACTACCCATTTTTTGCTCCTTCCCTGTTCTAATACCCATTTGAGGTTGGGTGGTCCAGGAACACATTGTGGCCTGGAACCTTCTTCCCTCCCAAGCTCAGAGATCTAGGTTTTTGCTTTTGAAACTCTTTGGATCATAAACACTGACTTAAACAGAGAAAAATGTGCATAATTAAAAACATGTATTTGGCTAACTGTGAGTAAAAGAGGGGTTGACGTTCTGGTTTGTGAATTATCAAGGCTCCTCTCTTCTGTTATCTGTTTCTCAATCAGTTTACTGCTTTTTAACCACCATTCTACCAAAGCGTGCGAAGGAATGGGCAAGGAAAAGGAGCAGTGAATGTAGTCCCTTCTATGTAGCACTCGTAAAGGATTTAGTGAGACTGAAAATTAAAAATAATCATGAGTGTTTTAGAAAAAAAATAATCATGAGTGTTTTGAAAAAGATCTGATCATGAGGGCTTTATAATGAATTTGGTAGGAAGTTGAAAAAGTCTCAAATAAAACCAGAAAAAGAAGCACAATGGAGGTCAAACAGAGATGTTCGAGAAAGAGTAACTGGTGAAGGTGCTCAGTCGTGCTCATGATAAGAGAAGAAGGATAAGGGCCAGGAATAATGTGGGAGGGCTTGGTTATCCATGTACCAATTCACAGTATGAATCATAAATTGCACTTTGAATTTTAATACAAAGAGGGAAATAAACGGTCTTCCAGATATTCTTCTAACAATACAAAACAAAAAAACTGAACTTCATAATGAAGTACTATGTAGCTATGAAAAAGAATGAAGAAGATCTCTATTAACTGATATGGAGTGATTCCCAGGGTATACTGTTAGTTGAAAAAAGCAAATTGCAGAAGAGCATGGATAGTATGCTAATTTTTTTTTGCAAGAAATAAAGGCAAATAAGAGAACAATACATATGTTTGAAGTTGGCAGGTAAAGGGATAGGGATAGGATTAAAAAAGGGATAGAGATAGGCATGGGATTAAAAAGACATGGGAAAGAAAGACACTTCTCTGAATACACCTTTTTTGTCTTGTTTTTCGTTTTGGAAACACATTGTCTTACAAATTCAGAAAAGCACAATTAAATCAATACGAATGGGAAGAGTGGGGACAAAAACTGAAGACAAGCTGAAACAAATGAACCCTACTACATTTCAGATGAAAAACAACCACACCAAAGGGAAGGGGGCAGGAGGAGGACTGAAAACAAATCCTGAACTATTGTTTGTTTCTGTCATAGTGCAGGCAAAGCGCTTCTGAAACCGTTAGATACATTACAGGATTAAGCAAATGAGCACATGTGTTGATGTCATTGGGAGCCAGGGTTCTCACTATGGAAGTTGGAACATATGAATATGGAGTGGGGGAAGGCAAGAAAGAACCTGTGGGGATGGACTGGGATTGGAGGTACTGGTATGAACTCGTGATTTCTATACGTGTGTGTGTGTGTGTGTGCGCGCACGCACACACACGTGCGCCCATATACACAAGTATATTAGGTATGTGTCTCTGTATATTATGCGTGTGCATAGGTATATGTACATGGGCATATGGGTATGTTCCTAGTACCCAGATCTTGTTCTCTAATAACATCCTCCGATTAAAACGAACCAGGATTCCTTAGAAAAATGACTGATTTCAAGGCTGGGGCAGGATAAGATCATTATGAGCCTAGAATCTTCTGTTCTGCTAGAAGTAAAGAAGTGCTCAAGAAAATGATGGGAAAATGTAAGGACCCAGGAGTCAACTTAAATGGCCCTTACTGGCTAAATCTGGACAATCTGAGCATCAAAATAAGCAAGGGCAGTGAAGAATTATAAACCACTGAAGAAAGAGAATTCACGAGTCTATACTGAGAAGTAGATAAATAAACAGATGGTGGGGCTTTTCCTTATAGTAGAATGCAGAGTGCCAACTAGTAAATGGGGGAGGGAGTGCTCATTTGGAAAATCATCATTTTGCAATCATCAGGGTAAAGACTGGAACACGCAAGAATTTTTGACTGATGCTAAAACAGGAGTGGGGTGTGATGAGTTTGATGAGGAAGCAGGACATTTTCATTGTCTCAAAGTATCACCACAGGGATTGCTTATTAGTTGCAAGAAGAAAAATAGTAACTATGTGGTGAAGAAATCCACCAATGTCTTTGACCAGCTGAATAAAATTAATGTCACCAACAAAGGGCAAGTGGACATCACATGCCTCCAGATGTGATGTCCTCAGGAGGACACAACATCTCCAATGCAGTATTCCAGCCATGAATGCATAATCTGAATATAAATTGTGAGGAAACATCAGAGGAACCCACAAATAAGGGACAGTATAATAAAGAAATAAAAGGGCATTTTTAAAAAGAGGTCAATGTCGTTAAAGACAAAGAAAGGCTGAGGAAGCGTTCTAGATTAAAGGGGACTAGGGATAATGACAATTGAATGCAATACCTGATCCTCGACTCTAACGGACAATATCGGATCCTTTATATGTTAGAAAGGGGGTTATTGGGTCAACTGTCAAAATTGGAATATGAATGGTGGGATCAGAAAAAAAGTATTAAATCTCTTCAAGTTGATAACCACACTGTCGTTATATAAGAGTTTCCTTATTAGAAAACCTACGTTGAAGAATTTAGCGGTCAGAGGTGATGATGTATGCAATTTACTCTCAAATGGTTCAGAAATAGATGGGGAATGCTAGCAAATGATAAAGGAAATGGGACAAAATATTAACAACAGATGAATCTGGGTAAAGAGTACACAGACATTCTTGTGTTACTCTTACAACTTTTCTGTGACTTTGAAACCATTTCTAAATTTTGAAAAGGCAAATATAGAATTCTCTAGGTGTCACTGAGACTTGGCGAAATAGGGTTAACGAGTGAATTCTGGTAATGGAAGTATACACCAGGCTCAAATGGGAAAGACCACAATATGGAAATCCATGAACCTGAGTGTAAATGTGTGGTGGAGAACATTTGCATGGAAATGAAAAGGAGAGGAAACAGAAGTTTTATGTTTGTGGCAGTATGTTATAGTAGGCCTGCTCAGGCAGAAGGTATGGCCAGTGCTTGCATAATGCAAAACACAAAATTGAAATAGACTAAAAATAGACAGTAATGGGGAAGACAATTGGCCAAACATCTGTTTGAATCCAGCTAACAGCATCATCGGGAACATTATTGGCTTGTGACCATTTCAAATCTTAGATGAGGTGGGGAGATAGTTACAGATGAAGAAAAGAAAAGGGAAAAGGAAAAGGAAAAGAGAGAAAGAAAGAAAAGCAAAAAGAAGAATAAGGGGAACTACTTCTCCAGACAAAATTCTAGCCCACAAGAAAGAAATTGCCAGTTAAAGAAAATGTGGAGTTTCATTATTTTAAGATTCCTCATATAAATGGTATCAGGTCCTATTTGTCCTTCTGTGTCTGGCTTATTTCACTAAGCATAATGCCCTCCAGGTTCATCCATGTTGTCACAAATAGCAGATAATTTCCTTCTTTTTTAAGGCTGAATTATATTTTATTGTATGGGCATACCATATTTTCTTTATCCATTGATCTGTTGATGGACAACTTTTTAAATGTCAATTAAATCTCAACAAAGTGGTTTAAGAAGAGAAAATGTGGAAAAACCTCAAAGGAAAGCAACTCTCAGAGCCAAGGTTCAATCAACAGTGGCAGAACAGAGGTAGGCCAGACCAATGAAAAGATTAGGCCCTTGAATTTTCATGAATATGTATTCCCAATAAAATAGTTTCATCTTTTTCAAGATTTTATTTATTTATTTACTGAGGGGGAGAGGTGGGACAAACAGATTCCCTGCTGAGGGGAGAGCCCAACATGGGACTCGATCCCAGGACCCTGAGATCATGATGTGAGCCACAGTCAAGGGTTGGAGGCTCAATCTACTGAGCCACCCAGGCGCCCCCTAAAATATTTTCATCTCATCTGCCCATTGCCAGGCAGAATTTTGCTCAGGGCTCTACCTTGTCACTGTTCTATTCCACTAGACTGGAAGATGACATCGAAGACAGGCTGGGAGGACAGAAACTGGATTTGAAAGGATTTTGGCAAGCTAGAATGTGAAGTCAAAGCTAACCAGACAAAATGGAAGAGGGATGAATTCAAGGTGTTGCATTTCAGTTTAAACAATCAAGAATTTGAAAGACCTAGGGATTTCAAGTGACTACATGCTCAGTAATCAACACTCAGTCAGTGTGACTACTGGAATAAAGAGGTTCAGGGCTAGGGTGGTCAGACCACTTTTGGAGTACTGTATTCACTTTTTTGAAAGCACGTTTTTTAAAAAATTTTATGCATTTATTATATAGAGAGAGTAAGCACAAGCGGGAGAGGGTGAGACACTCTCAGACTCCATGATGAGTGCAGAGCCCGATACAAGACTCGATCCCAGGCCCCTGAGATCATGACCTGAGCCATAACCAAGAGTCGGGTGTTTAACCAACTAAGCCACCCAGGCGCCCCTAGACAGTGCATTTCATAAAGCACTTTGACACACAGCAGTGTGTTCCTGAAAAGGATACCATGACAGTAAGGGGCCTGAAACCATCTCACATGAGGAGCAATTCAAAGAATTAAGGGTGTTTAGCCTGGAAAAGAGAAAATTTAGAAGGGACGTACATGAGAGCTACCTAAAGAGCTACCTGAAGAACTGTCATGGGAGAGATGGATCAGGTTTGTTAGTGAGGTACAAAAGGCCAGGACTAGGACTAATCAGTAGCTGTGGGTTTCATTCAAGAAACATTAGACTTGAAGTCTTACAGGCTTGTGTTCAAACCTTGACTCTATCAGTTTGTAGCTCTGTGACCTTGGGCAACTCATTTCACGTGAACCTCAGCTTCTTTATCCATAAAACAGAATTAGTATCATCTATGCCATAAGGCTAGGGAAGAAGCCATGAGGACTCAGCACGATGATCTATGTGGGAGCGTTTATAAATGACAAAGCAGAATGCACGTTATCAATTCTTATCGTCATTGTTATTTACTAGGAGGAAGGGTTAGGCCCTCCGTATGGAAGCCCTGACAATTATTTACAACAACACAACAACAGAATGAGTTATTTTGTTAGAAGTGAGCTATCACCAGAACAGGAAATGTTCCGGTAGAGGCAGGACAGTTATCCACTGGGTGTCTAGTAGAAGGGAAGAAGATTAGCCTAAAGGACTTCTAAGGTTCCTTCCAATCCGAAGGCGCTATGATCCTATCACCATTAAGAATCATCTTTTAAGTTCTTCTTTACAAAGGGCTATATATCTTTGAAAATGGAAAGCAGAGCCTTCAGATCTTTGTCGCTTGGACTTACGGCTCAGCTCCCAGCAGACCACTGCTCTACCCCTCTCAGGAAGGAGAAGCTCAGTTGCTGGCTGTAAGACTCACCAGAGCAAGGGAGAGAGAGAGAAAAGTGCAGGAAAGCACGTCAGGGAGGCCTCAGGGTTTGTGACTCCTCAAGTTGAATAAAACACCTAGGAGCACAGCTACCCAGGCCAGGTGGCTTAGGTGGGAGCTGCACGAGGCAAGTGTTTTTCGAGTGTGACCCGCAATGTCCTGTCACCTCCCCAGCCCACCATGTGGCCCAGCATGGGCACCAAACAGGAAAAGGAAGCCTATTGGGCTGGTGTCATGGGGAAAATTCCTCTCATGTGGGCCTGTGTGCGAAGTGAGACACAGATGCACACACACGTACAAAGGTAAAAGAAAATACTAATTTGCAGCTCTGCGGACTAGGGCGAGAGTCCTAGGGTGAACCTTAGGGTGGGGATCAGTTCTGGTCTTGAATCCAGTTTTAATTCTGCTTTCCAGTTCTCCCCGGCACAGGGAGGGGAACTCGCAACTGGGTCTCTTTCATCTGGCCATCGATGAGTCAAGTTTCTTATTCTGCCTGGTCTTGCTCTAATTCACAAGAAGGTGAAACCATAACATGTGAGCTCAGTGACTGCTTTTTAAACAGCTTTCATTTCATGGCCCACTGCCACATTTTTGTATTTGGTGTCATTCAGAGGAGGGGGAGAAGGGGGACAGTGACAGAGGCAGAAGGCTTATCACTACCATCGCAGACACAAATAGGTCTGGGAAAGGAAGCAGTTGTCCTCCAACGTGATGTATTTTATCATGTTAATGAAGTGGAAGAAGAGCAGAGGAGAGGGATGTTCACACACACAGAATCAGCAATGACAGTGGTGTGGCTACCCAGGAATGAATTCTGCGCTGGGTTCTGACTCAGGATGAGCAGAGTGACATGGATTAACTGAGGAAAGGCTAGGGATTACAAAAACAAATGGGAGTGGCCACCGTGACTCCCCCAGCAAGGAAATACACACCTTGCTTGTCCACCCAGCAATACGGTCTTTGCAATGCCCTGGGGGAGCTTACACTGTCTACTAGAAACACTATACTCAACAACCTAACATGTCTTACAAACACTTGCCTCGTGGCGCCCCGGCCAATCTTGAGCAGCTTACTGCTTCCTTACATTTCCTTATCTCTGGCCACAGGCCCCAACTACACCATGACTTACTGATGAAGTTAGCCTGGCCAGTGAATATGGTGTACTGAAGCTCATAGGAGCTGATGCTGAACTCATCATCTGAGATCCAGTGGACTGTAATGGTGTCGTGGGAGGCAGTACAGAGCTCCTCTCGGATAGATGGTGGGTTTGGGGCTGTAAGGAAAGGTAGAAAAGAAGGTGAGGAAGGCACACTCTCTCTGTTCTGGAATTTTAACAGTTGTCACTCTTGCTTCCTAACTCAACACCTCTTGGAGAGGAGGTTCTCTTCATCAACGAGATGCATTCGATGGAAGCCAAGTGCCGAGACCTCCAGTGGCCATGTAGTTTTCTTATTGCATGACCTTCAACCTGTTTCTTTTTATTTTAAAATAAGTTTTATCATATATTCTGGGTAGGATAGCCAAGAGCCAATTATACGAGTTCTCTTATCTGTGAAATAAGGGATGACCATTACCTGACAGATTTGTGGTAGATACTTACACTACAAAATGAGTACAAAGTGTCTGGCATAAAGTAGTTGTTCAGTAAATGACAGTTATTTTAATATGTTAACAAAAATAATGACCAATGCCAAATTATTGTACGTGTGTATTTTTCTCGGGAAGTGGCCATTCAATAATCCTGAAGGTAACAAGAATTTTTCACAGGCTAGTTGCATCCCTCATTTCCTAAAATTGTCTGCAAGCCAGACAGTTCTTACATTTTTTCATCCTAATCTGCTAGTTTCTCAAATTTCCTTAAAACCATTTGAACAGTACACGTATCCAAGCAGGACATGCTTTAATATTCCATAATTGCCACCTGAGTTCTAACCCCTTCAACAACAAGCAACAATATATTAATGATAGGCTCATAAGGAGAAATCCATCAGCAATGTCTTCTTTTTTCTTGACCTTTAGGTATGATGGTACTCCTGTCTGCCCCCATAAATATCTGACACATCATCTTTCTTTTCTGATACATGAGCTAAAGTATATTCTATCTAAAAAGAGACATGTATTATCTTAAAAGTTATAAAAGCATTTTCATTACAAATATGGTCCTTTTCTGATTACCTTAAAGTAAGAGAATACCAAAAGACAAGCATTAAAATGGAAAGGAAACCACAGTATTTTCACACCTGTTAAATAATCTAGCCCCTCCAGCAGTTTCTTTTCTCTGGAAAAATCTAAAGCAAAGTTTTCAAAGGCATCATTAAAATTGATGTCTGGAATCAGAACTTGAGAAGATGCTGTTGCCATAGCGACCCTGGGAAAGAGAAAAAGTGCATCAATATACATCAAAATCAGTTTGCAACTTTTATCCAATGTTTGATTCCTGGTTCAACAAGGCAAAAATATGTATGACTTGGGGGGCTTGATTCATTAAATGGAAAATATCATATCTGTGATTTTCCAATGGAAACCAGTTAAAATTTAATCATCAGGAACAAATTAAGAGATATACCATATTTATTCACATATGTTCACCCCACAAACACACTCCCCCATCCTGTCTTAATTTTGAGAAGTAAATACAGGATTTTTTCCCCTCTGCATCATTTTCCATCTGGCAGGCAGCATCAAAACTAGACCTCTGAAGGCTTGGTTAGAGCAGTTTGAGAGATTTTTTTTCTTCCCCTCGATTTTTTTTATGCTAATCAACAAGCCAGCACGCTGGGGCTGAGCTGAGTTCAAGCCTTCACCTAAATACTGTACTTGATTTGTTCTTTTATAACATTTTCATTTAATTTTATTACTATTTACTATGATTATATAATGCTCTGCTACTTTTACCTCCCCAGTTAGTTCTAAGCATCTCAAGAGCAGGGTTTGTATTTTGTACCTCTCATAGCTTCCATGGTCAGTAACACAGTGTTGGACACAGGGTGAATAAACAATTGTTAAATGAATAATGAATGACTAACAACAACACAGCTGCTAACATTTATTGAGCATTTAGTAGACAGAAGAGACCATGCATGCGCTTTACATACATTATTTAATTTACCTCTTGCCATAATCCTGTGTAGTATATGTTATTTCCTTTTTGTAAATGACAGTAAGATATAACATAAATAAGAAATGATACATAGAAAGCTTAAGTAACTTGCCTAAGGTCACACAACCAGTAAGGGTCAGAAAAAAAAAGAAATATAACTGAATCTATGTTCATTGGATTCTAAGCTCTATACCCTGAACCAATTTAGGTAGCTCTTTAAAAAAAAATAAGGTAAATTCTTCTGTGCTTCAGCAATTCTTAACCATGATAACACATCAGAATTCTCTTGGGCAGTTTTGACCAAAGCACACATGTTGAGGCCCTATGACAGACCTTCTGAATCACAGCCAATGAAGATCCTTGAACATGCAAATGACAGAATGGAAAAAAAAATTAATCTGGCAACAATATGCAGGTAGAATAAAGGGAAGAAGCACTGAATGTAGAAGACCAGAGAGGAAACTTCTAAGGTGAATTAGTTGTAAGGGGATGAGAAGTTAAACATTCACGCACGTACACCCAGCTACACATCTACCAACAAGAGCTCTTGGCTGTTTGTGAAAATAGAGATGACTTAGGAATAAGCTGTAGGCCAGGATAAACATATGAAAGACTGACACTATAATCTTCAGGTCTTACATAGAATGGCCAGTCTTCAGGATTCAATGAGTAAGAAGACAACAACCCCTATAGGGCAAGAGTTAAGGCAGAAAATTGGCTCATAAAATTTCTTCCTGGCCTCCCCAATCTTCTTTCTTCCATTCATCCACCCATCTGTCCATCAGTCCATCCATCCACCCATCCATCTATCCATCCATCCACCCATCCACCCATCCAATACTCACTGAGCACAAATAATGTGCCAGGCACTGTGCCAGACACACTGGAGACACACAGTTGTGGGCTTTGCCCTCACGAAATTCAGTTTGTGAAGGAGAAAGATATTAAATAGGCAATAAAAATGCCACTACAAAGGGACTGTACCATACACAAGACTCCCCTGGCAGGGACTTGGGCACTAAGGGAAATCTCCCGGGAGGAAGTTCATTTTATGCAGTGACCTACACAATGCGTAGGGGTTAGGTAAGCCGAGACTATGTGGCTCTGTGTTCTCTCTAGTCTGAAGGTTGCAGAATTAGCAAAATCACACAGGGCCTTGTGGGCCACGTTACAAGGTTTGCACTTTATCCAAAGAGCAGTGAGGGCCACTGAACCACTTTCAGCCAAGGAGTGATGCTCAAATTTATGTTTTAGGAAACATGTTCTGTCTGTACGGATGGGCTGGAAGGGGTCAAAATTGGAGGCAAAACAGATTTTAAGGTGTCTACAAATGAGCAAAAAGGAAAGTAGTGACAGGAACATAGACAAATAAAACAGAAAGCTAATTCACACAGCATGAAAACAAATAGGCAACAAATATATTTCAAAGCCCAGGACGCCTGGGTGGCTCAGTCAGTAAAGCATCTGCCTTTGGCTCAGGTCATGATCCCAGCATCCTGGGATCAGGATCCCTATTCAGCAGGGAGCCTGCTTCTCTCTCTCTCTCTCTCTCTCCCTCTCCCTCTGCCTCTCCCCGGGCTTGTGCTCTTTCTCTCTCTCACTCTCACTCACTCTCTCTCTCTCTCAAATAAATAATAAAATATTAAAAAATATATTCAAAAGCCGACTATATGAGGAATCAAATAAATGTAAATTAAAGTGAGATTGCATTGAAGATTATAAATAATGACAATTATAGGAGCTTTTTATGCCCGTATGAGATAATGTCTACATATTTTATTAGGACTGAAACTGATAACGAATTTTGGGGATAAGTTTGGCATTAAATACCAACATAGATTAAAATGCAAATATTCTTTGACATCACAGTTCTACTTCAAAAATTTATTGCTAAGGAAACAACTGAGGTGTAAGGGCATTCAACATACCATATGTACCCTAACTCTCTAACCATGGGGACAGAGCTAAGTAAATGTAATACATCAAAAGATGAAATACTACAAGGCCACTGAAAATCAGTTCAATGACAGGGACAAGTTCACGATATATTGCTAAGTTTCAAACATAGGGTATAATGAAGTATATACAGCATGACCCTCTGTTTGTGAAATATTTATTAAATCTAGGGGCGCCTGGGCAGCTGAGTCAGCTAAGCATCTGACTCTTGGTTTCAGCTCAGGTCATGATCTCACGGTCGTGGGATCGAGCCCCACCGCGGGCTCCATGCTCAATGGTGAGTCTGCTTGAGATTCCTTCTCCTTTCCCCTCTGCCCCTCTCCAGTCAGACACTGTCTTTCTCTCTCTTAAATAAATAAAAATCTTATAAAAAATAAAAATCTAAATATTGGGATACTATACTCCCAAATGTTAGCAGTGGCTGAAAGTTAAGGATGAGTAAAAATGGCACTGGGGTATATGTAAGAGTGTGTGTGTGAGTGTGTGTGTGTGTGTGTCTCTGTGTGTCTGTGTCTATGTTTAATATGTTTAAGCAAAACAACATTAGTTATCTCTCAAGGACGATATGATAAGTGTCATTTGTAAGCGGGGAAGGAATACTCTCCCAGCTGGAATTTCATTTTAACCGAGGTCTTGGCCCATAATAGATTATTACAATTATTATTGGTGGGGAAGAATTTCAGACCCTGTGAGAAACCACTGATGAAGATATTGAGGTTGGGCAGATGATTCTCAAGAGAAAAGAGAATAGCCTAAAACAGAATCATAAAGACAACAGCTTTAAAGGAATAGGTCAAAGGCGATGTGCTCCCAAAGGCAAAAAGAAACTCAGTAGGTAGGGAGAAAAGTAGAAGTGTTCACCAAAGCTAAGGGCAGAGAAATTTCAAGTACGAATCATTGTCAGTAGGAACAAAGGTTATTGAGTGATTTTTTTAAAAGATTTTGTTTATTTATTTATTTGACAGAGACATAGCAAGAGAGGGAACACAGCAGAGGGAGTAGGAGAGGGAGAAGCAGGCTCTCCTCGAAGGAGGGAGCATAATGTGGGGCTCGATCCCAGGACGCTGGGATCATGACCTGAGCGGAAGGCAGACGCTTAAGGACTGAGCCACCCAGGCGCCCCTATTGAGTGATTAAGGAAGACGAAACAGTAAGATAAAACAAAGGAACATCTATTAGATTTAGCAACAGGGTATCCATTTGGTGACCTCAGAAAGAACACTCGGAATAGTGTGGTAGTGGCAGAAGACATTTCAGAGTCTTGAAGAGTGAGTGGGGATGATTGAATAATGTGGTTTAAATTTATGTTTTATCTCTGCTCTCATGAAATACCATTGAAATGACAGTCAAAGAATAAAATGTCATAAACCCACAAAGACAAAGAGAATGGAAAAAGACATGCCAGCAAGTAAGAGATTGTCAGCAAATGTTTGGAAGCTAGAAAGGGATGCATGAGCGGTAACCAACAACAGACCAGAGAAAGCTGGGTCAGGAAGCCAACAACGTCAAGCTGATTTTGTGCCGCCGACAGTTGAAAGTTTATAGGAAGAACAGCTAGACCCCAGATCCACTCGACCAGAGACTACTCCTCCCTCGTCCTGGCAAGAGATGTGAGGTTCAGTTTCTGCAGAGCTTTGACGCTGCATCAAAAGCAGTCTTAAAACCCTCAGCCACCTTTTCTTGCTTGGTTCCCAGAATCGTGGCAGCCAGCCTAGTCCCCCTCATCCCCCATCAGAAGCAGGAGATTGGTAGATTCCTTCTAGGGGAAACTGACTGAAGAGAAAACACCTACAGAACTGACATTTGGGTCCCCTCAGTAAAAATCTGGCATTCCACCTTATCCTATAGTGACATTCACCGAGGAACAAACTGTTCCCATCCCCTCAGATCTTCCAGTCACCCTCTAGTGCGTCAATTCAAACAGGCAGCCGAAAGCTTACCAAACATGTAGGGAAAGACAGCAACTTAAACAAACGAATAGAGAAAAGGAACTTGGAGGAGACCAAAACAATGCAGAGCTTAGAAGTTTTTAAATGATCGTCCAGATCTTCAAGAAGATAAATAAATAGTTTGTATCCACAAAACAAGGACAGAATGCTAAAAAAAATAAAAGCAAAGATCAAGAAAGAGCTCTTATAAATAAAAATAAGAATGCTGAAATTAAAATTTTAATAGAAGGACTGGATAAAAACTTAAGGAAACATCTCAGATAATAGAGTAAGAAGACAGTGTCGTGAAAACTAGGAAATGAAAGATTTTAAACATCAGAGAGAAAATCTAGAATGTTCAACCTCTGACTAATTAGAGTCCTG